CTTACACATTTATATATTGAAGACAATTTTAATGTATGACAATAATATGTAAAGTGAATTTTAAGGATCTTTAAGTTATAATTTGTATTAATATGTAAAAATAATTCCATAATTTATACTTTTAATTAGTTAATGCAAAATATTTTTAATGTTCATAATCCTGTTCATTTATATTGTTTTAGACATATATGATTGATGTAAAGCGCCTTTGAACATTTTAATGAAAAGGGCGCTATATAAATGTGGTATTTATTATTATTATTATTATTAGTTCCTTTAAAATTGTTATATAATTATATATTGATTTATATACATAGTCTATCATAATCACTTTCAGTATTCAAAATATAGACATTATATAGAGACATTATGTTTGTATATATATGATATGATTGAGTTCTCATGTTTTATCAAAAGAAAATTATTATGCATTATTTATTTTGTAAATACTCTCAAGAACCTTTACTTATCATTCCATTTTTTAATTGTTAATATTGTAATGTATGTGTTCATAAATAAAACCAGAATTAAAGAAAAACAAAAAAGAGAGATGTGGTTCATTTTTATTCTTTGAAATGCATGTACCAGGCATTGAATATACATTTTATGATCAAGAGTCTGTTTTTACTTTGTAACTTATTTTCTTATTTCACATACAAACATTTTTTTAGTTAATTTAAACATACTGTACCTTTCAGCATTAATTAATTCGTATAAACAGTTTAACATAAACTATTTTCTGAGATCACGAATACTGCAGTAGTGATCACGGAACACTTTGTAAAAAAAGTTATAAAAAACATATGTGAATAAATGAAGCACTGGGCATTTGTTACTTTTTACGTATTTTCGAAAAAAAAACTTAGTTTAAACTTTTTTTTATCATAATTCACCTTTTAATATACTGGTCTTTTGCTGAACTGTCTTAATCGACACATAATTATGTAAAATATCATAATTATAGATCTTATTCCATGCTTACTTTCATATAATACATATTAAATTTCATTTTTTTAATCAAATCTTTCTATAGTATATAATCGTGATGCATATAATTTGATTTAAAGAAACATTTCATATTTTGTCAAAATTATGCGCACTACTATACCATTGAAGTGTCGACTTTAGGCGGCCATCATCAGTGAGTAGCGTCTATTAATACCAGACAAATTGAAAAATGTTTTGTTTGGTCAGTAAGATTCTGTTCAACTACAATATGCTGCAAATACAAATATAAACGTCATGCCCTTTCGTTCCACTACTATCGAAAAATTGCAATTTACAGATTTAAGGAATCCACCAGGAGTAGTTTATGTTGCACGAAAGACAAGTTCTTGTTACCGGTACATATTTTCTCTCATACACTTTGTAAAGTTGAGCATTTTCATGTTTTGCAAGTGCAATAGTAAAACAATCGTCGTTCACGGGAAAAAAGTCCTGCCGTGTATCATTTAATTTTCTTTTCCCAACAGCTTATAAGGTCGTTAGACGCTTGCAATACTCCTACACGGAATTACACTGTTGATTATATTTAAACAAGAAAAATATTACATACATTCGTATGTAATATAGGTACGATTGCATACTTCCTTTTGTGGAGACTTTATGTTTGCTGAATTAAAGTTGTAATGTAAAATGAACAAACATGTCATGAGATGTTTTATATATTTAAACATTTTCATGGAATGTAATTAATGTATCATCATATTAAAGTTGCATGCCTTCAGATGAGAAAAATGATTTCAAGGAAATCAAAATATGAAAAGAAAATTCACGGTCAATTGACTGCTGTGAAGCATAATCACAAAATAAAATTACAGGAAATTAAAAACCTTTTTAATACACTTAAGGTAGAATTTCATTGTAAATCATAGTCACAGATTTAAGATATGATTATTTATTCATATTCACACCATTATTGGTTATATATTGATAAAAAAAACCGGAAGACACAGTTTGTAAATATTTATTACAATAAAATATGAAAAAGGTATTTTCCATCCGCGCCGAGGTTAGCTATTATTATAATTCCTGCGCTAAGTCGCGGTGGTGCTTGGGATAATCACTCGATACTGTAAATGGCAGCCATTTTACGATACGAAAATGCTTGGCCCTCCTCGGACAGTTTATCCTGCCGAAAAGATATGAAAAAATACTTGCAATTCAAAGTGTGCTTGCTACATAAAGATTATCGATTTACTCTTTGCACACTTTTTCTCTGCCTGATTGTAATTATATTGATGTGTTTTCATTGGCTTAAACGATCACGTTATCAATACAAATGTAGGTGTGAACTAATTTCGTGTTCATTAAAATTATTCCTTAATAGACATATAACAATCTTATTTACAAATGAATTGATAAAACAACAATCCCAGAAGCATTTAAGATAATAGCAATCATTGGAAAAAATAAATGCATATAAATTGTAAATTTGTGTATGACAACTCACCCCCAAAACAAAACATAATAGACTCAACCAAAACAAGCGTCTGCGTCTGCTTCTTCACCTAACTATGTAGTTGCATGGCCATGATTAGCAATAGCAAACCAAATTTAAGAGATAAACATATTGTAAAAAAAATACTATGACCACAGCAGATTTCGTACAGAAAATACCACTTAGGTGAATGAATTAGAAGCGATACTTACAATTGGCCGTTCAAAGCGGCCTGTCGCTCTATCTCGGAAATGCCATTCGCCCTATTTTACGACAATATGCACCGCAATTTTGAAGAGGAGAGTAGGTTTGCTGCTTCATCGACATGAGAGGGCTAAAATTAGATCATCCTTGAAGTAAGCTGAATTTACACAATAGATGTGCGAGTTAGTTACCATGTAAATATTTTGATTTTTCGGTTCATTATGTTTGGAATGTTGTAAGATTGTAATACTACAAGAATAAACATTATTCAACTAATATCATGCATTCTCAACAGCTCTTCTCCTAAATTACATTATGTTACAATGCTGAGATGATAAATAGCAAAGAATATTAAGAAGAGTAACTGATTACATTGTGTTTATTGCCTAGCATACATTGCATACCCCTAACATTTCACATTTAATTTATGTCACTTATTGTTGTTATGTATGCCGCTTATTTCGAATCCTCCTACCCCAGGGGTTTTGGATCCTTTTTATTTGACGAAGCTTTTAACTTTCGGGGGTTCTTAATAGGTTTCCTGTTGTTCCTGCAATAATGCATGGAGGACACAAGAGATTTATTTCTACCAAATAAACTACCGGTTTGTTTGTTTGTTGGTTTGGTCTAGTTTTACGGCGTACCAACGTAATTTAGTTTATATGTTTCATGAGAAATTCTTTATATATCCCTCAGAATTCAATTAATTAAAAGAGTCGGACACCTTTTAGCATTTTTTAAATTTAATCATTGGTCAATGACAATTATAATAGTATTTTTAATATATAACTACTTATATCGACTTGACAACGAGAAAAAAAAACACCATACTGTCACTTTAAAGCTAAATGCCAAGTCAGGAATAAACAAAAATATCACACATATCATATGTAGCATACCCCAGTAAATGTTTTATATTTACAACGTTTTGTTGGTATGCAATAATTCGTATTAGTCACAACAACAATCCATCAAGATGCCATAAAACCGGATCAAAAAATCATTTGGCTCATCAAGCCTAACGCCTTAAACATTCTTTTGATGGGCGGATAATTTCATAAGTTTTGTAATATTGAAAAGGGGTCGTTCAATCATTTGCTTAAGAATAATGAGTTATATATGTGCTATCAAAAGTAAAGCTAAATGATTTATTTGTATTAAGAAAAACACTGGTCTCCCAAAATATTCCAACATTAAGCTCGACCATTCCAAGTACAGGGGAGCTCATATAATCACCCCGGCGTCGGTGTCGGTGTTAAACTTTGGTAAAGCTTTTGCTTACATGTTGGTATCTCCAAAACTACTGAATGGAGGCAGTTGAAACTTCACAAGCTTATTTTTTGTCATTATATAAGATGATGGGCACAGGTTCCATAACTCTGAGTTATCTTTTTTTTATGAAGTTATGTCCCTTTTCTTGCTGTCATGTACAGAGAATAGTCTAGCGCACTGTCTTATGGACAAGTCTTGTTAAATCTACTACTATGCGTTTTCTAACATGGACAGAAAAATGTTTTAGCCTTCTGAGCACGCGAAGAAGTCTAAAATGGAACGAAACCAAGTTATTTTTTGAATCATAATTATGACTACAAAAGTAGTATGTTGCAAGTTCTCCTTTTAAACACATTCGTCAAACAGGTTGGCTTTATGCGTTTCTTTTTACAAATCTATCCATGCTGCCTTTAATATGAGGCAACTATGTCAAAGGTTAATATGAATCTGTTTTACCGATATTAAATAATTCACAAGGCATTGTAAAGAAACGTTTGAGAAACTTAACTCTTTCTTTCAAGTATCCAATCGACCGGGCATGACTAAAAACAAACAATTGATAATTATTGACTTGTATAATTCAGTACTTATATATTAGATTTGTAGGTTCGATCCAAACAGTCGACCCATAATTGCTACGTTTTCGCCATTTTTAATTTGAAAAGCACGTGATACATTTAATACAAAACACAACCATCAAAACAAACACGCATTCTTACGACCACTGCCAAAACCAATCAAAGATTATGTACCTCAGACCGTATCATTCTATGCAATTGACCAGGTTGATAACATTGGTTAATATATATTGGCCGTACAAACCACCTAAATACTCAATTTAATTTGCAAGACAGTTTGAAGCAAACTGTAAATGCAAGATGTCTACTTTGTCCAGTGTATCATAAAAATCATTTTAAAATTGTAAACATGTTTGATCAATAAAATAACTAATAATTTATTAAAGTCCATGAAAAGGCATGTAAGAAAAACATTGTACATGCATTAAGTATTTGAAAAAAGTAAAAGTTTATGAACATTTCTGTAACTTCCCTCAATCTAGGTGCACAATGACTATAAATTTGCTTACATTCTGGTAGTCGGCATTCTGTGTGCGCAAGGCTTAACATAGCAATTTTAGACCAATAACGGAATTAAGGAAATAAGGAAAAGTTATGTATTTAATGCTCACCATTCTTGGGTTACTGGTCATACAAAGAATAAGTTGCTCGGAGCCTCAATGTTCTAGGTTCCATTATGAAGAACAAACTTTGCTGAAAATGCTTAAACTTGAGCTTTTTGTTGAGAAAATGAAAGAAGATATTCAATCGACGCAACAGAAGGTGTTGGAAACGTTGCAAAGTTTAGATAAAGAAAAAACTGGTCTAAAACTTAAACTTGAGCTTTTTGTTGATAAAATGAAAGAAGATATTCAATCGACGCAACAGAAGGTGTTGGAAACGTTGCAAAGTTTAGATAAAGAAAAAAATGGTCTAAAACAAGACTATCAGGAAATGAAAGAAAGAGACGAGGCAGTTATGTTAAGATATGCCCAGGAAGTTGAAAATCTCAAAGGTAAGTTTCATTACTTGTGCGATTAAGAACATCTGCCATTGTCACTGTTTGCTCAAGAAGCGCTTCTCATTCTTTTATAATTCAATCTTTCATAATGTGTGATTTGGCATTGTAGATTTTATTTTCACTATTTAAACTAATGCAACTATTTTCGAGAGTATTTCAATACGCTTATAGCTTTCAACACCATCGAACTAAAATAAATTTGTATAAACTAACTTTCTTCAATTAATTAAATTAAATTAATAAATTATTTCAGAGTCCGCTAAGCGTCCAACGATCATATTCCAGTCTAAAGGGCTCATCAATCTATCTCCGAGCGCAGGAGAAACGTTGGTGTTCAAAACCACCATGCTGAATGAAGGTAACGGCTACAACAACTCTACCGGTGTATTCACGGCGCCAGCTGCTGGTGTATATCTCTTTACAATACAACTTTGTGCTCATAGTAAACACGACGCCCAATATATTATAATGGCAGAAGACAAGGAAATCCAAAGGGGCTTTTTCTATGACACTGAATCCAACAGCTGTGGTACAGCCAACGGTTTAACTGTCCTCAAGGAAGGACACCGTGTTAGGATTAAAATGCAATACTCGAGGCAGCTGATGGAATCTACAACGGCTTGGAATACCTTTAGTGGTGTTCTTCTACATACATATTAGTAACCGGTATTTGTATTACCACTGATTCTGGGAAATAAATGTTTGGATACTGTTACTGTTAATAGTAAATTCAAGTAGACGTCCCTGTCATCTGACAGACACATTTAAGGAAAATGTTTTATAAGGATGTTTTCCCTCAATATATCAGCTTTTATTGAGTAATGGCAGAACAAGCTGACTTGTAAAATAAATACTGCCAAACGATTTGATGACTGATACTAAATATAATCAGATCATACAGTGAGTTTATCCTAGGAGGAATTGATAAAACTTCGTGTTTTTTTTATATATAAAATAGAATTGGAATGCGTAAAACCTATACACTATAGATTATTTGAGCATTGATTTTCCTATGCTTTTCAATTGAATACGGGGAAATAACACGATAAACTAGTCACTTTCTAAAATTTCGAACAAGTAAAATTTTTTAAAACCCAAAACTAAACATAAAACTGTGACATCTAAAAATTTTAAAAATTTTGGAAAAAAAATTTTATACAGTACAGGGTATATTTATTTAAAATTTGTATGTATTTGCATGATTTTTGAGACAGAAACAAAAATGCCTATAAGAAAATGTCATGACGTCAGAAATTATTTCATTGTCACTGGAGTAATGTAACATTAGTTATGTTACATAGTCATGTCACAGGGATGCAAATTATAATTCAAAAATGATGTAAATATGATTCAATTCAACAGGATTCTCTTATGGTGATTATATATGTGAAAAAGGTTAACCAATATAATTTATATCTTAATATATGTGTCAATATCAATAGTAAATATTGAGCCAAAACATACTCTACCATCTCATAAAGAATTTATGTCAAAAGGATCATGTCATAGTTTTTCATGTCACATTGATAATGCATCTTGGATCATATCATATATCTTATAACAGGAATCAAGTTACATAAATTATGTGAAGTATTTATTTAGATAAATATCTTCTAACAAGTTATTCCTGTTTGGAGTCATGTAACATTTACAATGAAATTCTAAAACAAAATTTTCAATTTTATATATAAAAAAGCAAAATAAAAATAAAGTTATAAAGAATTATATTTGTCTAGAAAAAGTATAAATTATTATAATACATCTATATGTAAATAACGTTATACAATAATTTGGTTTAAATTCTCTATAAAGCATTTTCATTTCTATCTTAAGCATTTTCATTTATTTCACCGACGCGGCAGAAACCATTCGTGAAACTTTTTAACTTCAATTTTACATCATGTAAATAAAGACTTGCTTCAAAATGTGAAATTAAAGTTCACATAACTTAGGGTATTTTCTTATGGTCACTTTTTTCAAAACTATTTCACATTACGTGTCCGTCAAATCGGAACAGTTTTGTTGTTATCAATTAAGTCAGTATTATGCAAAGATTCTAGCAGACGACAGTACCATGCATCGCGTTCAGCTTCAAGGTCAGCTACTTCTTTCATCAACTCATCATTCCTCTGTTGTAATTTTTGACACAACTGTGAATACATACATGCAGAACTTTAATAAACAATTTAAGATTGTGTTTAAAATAAGAAGTAAGCTGCATGCATTTTTCATGTCCAAGTAGGCATGTACCTCAGCAGGGTTCGAACCTTCGATCTGAGTTTTGCCTGCAGACACCTTATCCACAATACCACCTTAACCCTTAAAGTGGTTTATTAAATGATACTGTAACTACTTATTTTGCATGTATATCTGTTAAATCATTTTGTAAATATAAACTGTGTATTATTAAGGAATGTTTTTCAAATCAATAAAGTTATGTTTGTTGTAATTTTAATTTAGTCATTGTAATAGTTGTTGTTTTATTATGATGTTGTTTTTCGTTTTTTTTGGGGGTTTACTATAATATATTAACATTTTTTCAGAAAGATTATGTTATTTGTTTTGTATGAAATCTTTATGTGTTACCTTCTTTAAATAAAGATATCATCATCATTCCCTTTTCCTGATTATTATTATGATCATAATTATTATTATTATCATTATTATTATTATAATCATTATCAATATTAATAAATAATAATAATAATAATAATAATAATTAATATTATTAAGGACAGACTAGTCAGACTGTCAGTTGATGGCACAGACGGTCCATTATCTATTATTTGAAGAAAAAAATATGAATACACTAGAAATTCAAAATATTTCATGAATGACTTACTAGTTGTAGAGTTTGTAGCTCAGTTTTCTTTTTCACTCTGAATTTTTCAGAGGCTTTACGATTCTGTTCACGTCGTCTCTTAAGTTTAACAACCTCATTCGGTCTCAATTTCTAGAATAGTATAAAATTTCACCAACTTTAAAAGGTTTTCACTTTATATTCTTTTCGGGTACAGATTAACAGTATATAGTATGAGTGCCTTAAAACATCCGGACCACGTTGATATCATATGGTGACATTGAGACTGACGTATTTTGTCCAGGTTACTTTTAGGTTTACTAACATCATATTTATGTATAGAACTGTTCTAATGGGTTTCGTTTATATATACAGCACATACCATTTAAATAAATATACGTATATGTTACGACATGTTGATAGTGAATAATTATATTATTTAATGTCGGTCATTGTATTGGATTGTATTGTATTGAATTGTATTGTGTTGTATTGTGTTGAATTGGGATGTTGTAGCTATTTCGTGTCAGGTCAAGGGCTTATAAGCCTAAACCAGGGCTGTTGTTGTTCATGTTGTGGATTTTGAAATAAAGAATTTTTCTTCACACGTCGTTTTAATAGTATTGCATTTTATTTGCTTTACATAATATTCGGATAGAATAGTTTGGTTAATATATACATAGTAAAAACCGCAAATATTATACATATAAGATTATAATTATATGTAGTATAAAATATTGTATCACATAAATTGTTAAGCATATCCTATCTTTTTTGAATTCCTTATTAAACTCGACAACTAATTCATTCTTTCCTTCAGACATACGACGTGTCTGTATGTAATATTTGAGCTCTTCCTTCAATAACGGCTTTATTTTGCCTGTACTGTACGACTCCGTCTCTGCAAGATGCAGTTTGGTTTCTTCTCGACTGTTATTTGTCCACATTTTACAATGTGACTAGCGTAAAAATTAACAAAAATAATCCTACAATTCAACTGGTAAATTCTGTATGTGTCAGCATTAATTAAACCCACGTTCTCCCGCGTTTTCTCATTCTGACGTTGTTGCGTGTGTTTATATTTTATGCGTATTCTTACCAGATAGACAGTGGAATGTTTTAATATTTCAATGTACTATATTATAAAAAGAAACTGTTAAATAAGCTAATATATGTTTTTATAATAATCACAAAGAAACACATCCATTTTATTTTTATAAATATACGGTTAACGCGTAAGCAATATAAATAGAGATGACGTTTATATTTAGTTCATCAAGGGAGGTTAGAATACAATATGCGTCTATTAAAATTTGCAATGTGTTGTCTTCCCCTTAGCTTCATAAGTCTACACGTCAAACATACTTTAATCTATGCCACAAGTGATTGTAAGGAGAGAATAGATTTATTTTGGAAGTAGTTTCTCGATGGTACATCATCTACCGACCCTAATCTGTGTTATCCCTGGGTTTCATTTTGGTGTTTGTAGATCAGTTCAGTAAGCTACTTTACATTCATAAGAGCACAGTTCAACCATCATATCGTCCCTGGGCAGACTGTCAATTTACCAAAACAAGTGCCTTTACTTTCGCAAGGAACTGATAACTTCTGTACATGCCAGAGCAGAGTTACAGTGCCAATGACCGTAGAAAAGTAAAATATACTGCATGTTTTCAATCAAATTTATGTTCTGTTCGTGCATATTGATTACGTTATAAATCAATAGATCAATATCATAATGAAAGAAATGACCTGGAAGCTGTGCAATCATCTATATTTTAAGATTTTTATTTATTTCTTAATTTCAGATTATGTTTGAAACATTTAATACACCTGCCTTTTATGTATCTATCCAAGCTGTACTCTCACTGGTCGCCTCTGGTCGGACTACAGGGGTTGTGTTCGACTCCGGTGATGGCGTTTCACATGTTGTGCCGATACATGAAGGTACCTAGCTCTAGAATGAATGCTTCTTCTCTGTTACCTATAACAAAATTTCAACAATAAAAAATGAATCGTTTTTGTCCAACTATTTTGTGTAAAAGAAGAACAAACAATTTGTTTTAACAGTGATCCAGTTATTGATACATTACGTGTCATGTTTAGTTTGGAGAAAAATACTGTACAAATGGTAAAACAAGTTAACAGTATAATTAACTTAACATGTTCATCACGACTAGAATAATTACTGTAATAGGAATAATAATAAGAACTATATCCAAACAGATAAAAATCGCATACATTATAATTTTTGATTACTTATGTTTTAGTATTTTATCTGTATGTTTAACCTTTTATTCGTATATTCCCATTTCTTTTTCGACTATTACATCTTTTATTACATTGTTGACAGGCTATGCCTTACCACATGCCATCAAGAGCGCCGGCCTTGCAGGTAGAGAGACCTGACTAAATATACGAGAGACGGTCAGAAAATATCCAGACTTTTCATGCTCCTCTCTTTCCACGTGCAGCTATATTCACACATTATATATTGGTGAAAAACTACATTAATTCGCCAATAACGTGGTCAGTTTATTTTCAATGATAGTTGAAAGTATTATGCTCTCTGATATATGATATATGATAGGTGTTTCGTCTGTCATGGACTCTTTGTTAGAGGAACAACGCCCTGTAATAAAGTTTCTGGTTGCAGAAGGTGAAAAGCCCAGCAACATCTTTCAGAGACTTAAAAAAAGATTTTCTGATAAATGTGTGTCACGTTCAACCTTCTACAACTGGGTTTCTCAGTTTCGTGAAGGCAGAACAAGAGTTTGTGACAGGCCTAGGACTGGGTGGCCAGCTGAGGCGGTGACCCCAACAATGGTAGCAAATGTTAAAGCTTTTGCTAACAAAAATCGTCGAGTAACTTTGGAGGAGGAAGCCAACAAGTTTAGCATCGGTGAGGCATCGGCACACAAGATTTTACACGAACACCTAAGCATGAGCAAGGTAAGTGCCAGGTGGGTGCCTAGACAGCTGTCCGCAGATCAAAAGGCAACCAGAGTAACCAATGCAAAAGAACATTTAAGTCGTTTTAATCGTGAAGGAGATAAGGTTTTGAACCGCATTATCACTGGAGATGAGATGTGGGTTCATTATTCCGAACCTGAGACAAAAGCTCAGTCAAAGCAGTGGAAACGAGCTGGTTCTCCACCTCCTAAAACATTTAAGCTGTCTCCTTCGGCTGGCAAAGTCATGCTTGTTGCCGTTTGGGATTCACGAGGAATGATACTTACTCATTTTATGCCAAAAGGTCAAACTGTCACCACCAAGTACTATTCTGAAGTAATTCTGAAAAATCTCAGACGAAAGCTGAAGCAAATGCGTCCCAGGTTAGCACAGAAAAATGTCCTCCTTCTTCACGATAACGCCCCCTCCCATACCGCCGCAGCTACAGTGGAGGTTATCAACTCTTACAAATGGCAATTGTTGTCTCATCCTCCTTATAGCCCAGACCTCGCCCCCTGTTACTTTTATTTGTTTCCAGAACTGAAAAAATTGCTTGCTGGAAAGAAATATATGACCAGGGCGGCTTTGATATCTGCTGTTACACAATACCTAAAACATAGGTCTACGTCATTGTTCACAGCGGAAATACAAAAGCTCCCACGAAGATGGCAAAAGTGCGTAGACGTAAGTGGAGAATATTTTGAAAAAGAGTATAAAGATTTTTTTTATAAAAAGTTGAATGGTTTTCGAGAACGAGTCAAAAGTCCGGATATTTTCTAACTTCCCCTCGTATGTGCAAAATTGTCCATGAACGTGGATATAACTTCATAAACTCAGGTAATATTCAGATTCAAATTATTTCTGTTGTTGTTGAAAATATACATTTTAGACTTTTAAAATTATATCTTTTTTATAATAAAACGATTCAATCAAGTCATTTTACTCGGTCTGAGAGACAAACAAGAGATACAAGTAAATCGTGAATATAAATGATAAATTCATCTCTATTTATAAATCTAAAATCTTATGAAAAGAAAATGCATTGTGTATACGCATTAAACGAACTTCGTGTCAGAGGTGATACGACTTAGCCAGCAGCAGCAGGCTTCTACTTTTGTTATATTAATTCTATTAAATTATGTTTTAGCTGAGATGGAGATTGTTAGAGACATAAAGGAAAAGCTGGCATATGCCGCTTTAGATTTTGAACAGGAAATGAATACGTCTGCAAATTCTTCACAGATTGAAAAATCGTATGAACTACCCGATGGTCAAGTTGTAACCATTGGTAACGAAAGATTCCGGTGTGTAGAGAGTATGTTCCAGCCATCATTCTTAGGTAGGATTCTTGAACGCTATTCACATTTAAATAAGTCAATTATTATTAAGAACGGAAATATATTTACAGAAGAATGTTAATTATAGTCTTTTTTTCTCTGCATTTTATTTCTTTGTAAAATTCTCACAAAATTATATATATTTCATGTAAATCTATCATTTTAGGACTAGAACAGCCAGGTATCAGTGAACTTGTGTACAACTCTGTTATGATGTCAGACATTGACATCAGGAAAGATCTGTATGCAAACTGTGTTCTGTCTGGAGGCTCAACCATGTTTCCAGGTAATTAATCGTCACTTCTCAAATTGTTAAAAGTTCTGCAATAAATATAGACTTGAAAAATACATACACAAAATATAATTATACGTGTATATATTATATATCATCAAATTATTGTAGATCTAGATGTTTTTCTCATGTCTTCAATTTGTTAATGATTTAATAATAAGAACATTTCTAAAACAGTAAAATTAGGCACATCAAATTCTTTACCTTCATTGATTTTTGTTGCTATTTCTTCAGGAATGGCTGACAGAATGAAGAAAGATTTAGACGCTCTTGTACCTTCCACGATGAAAGTGAAGGTCATTGCGCCACCAGAACGGAAGTACTCAGTGTGGATTGGAGGCTCGATTTTAGCGTCATTATCAACCTTCTCTCAGATGTGGATCAGCAAACAAGAATATGACGAGTGCGGACCTTCCATTGTTCACCGGAAATGTTTCTAAAAGTTTTTATTCAGATACGATTTATTATATCTAATACGAACACGTGTACATTAACTATCAGTATGTGTATGAATTTCGTGCAGTCAATATAAAGTTTTCGTGCTAGGTAAAATACGCGATAAAGTATAATTGCTAATTGTGCCAATGGATGAATGACAAATGAATAGTTGAAAGATGACACATTTGACTGAGTTGTTGGCTTAATATAATTTATGGCATAATTCAAGTGACTTTTAATACCACCAACCAGAAACACTTTTTAACTGTCGCTATTTCGAATTAAACTTAATTTAGTGTTTGAAAATAACCGTTGACTGTAAACAAAAGTTACCTTACATAACATGTTTGTATTTCATAGATTATAAAACAGAAGAGTCCTTCATTATTTGACACTGCTGGTCATTTCGGTTCTTAAATCAAACTTTCGTAGAGTTGTTGTATTAATTTATTGATGGTACGAAATTTCTTGTTATACATTTGAATGCTATTTAAGGGGATTCCACTGAGGTTCTTTTCTTTTACTTGATGGGAACGGAAATAATATTTTCCCCGAAATTTGTGTACCATTTGATGGAGGTCTGAACCAACTACTTGCAATATTCAGGTCATTCTCTCACCTCGTTATTTCAGATAAATCATTTTTACTGCGCAAAATGACCCAAAAAGGAAAAGCGTTGTTCACCCAATTCGGGCCTAAAATTGCCTTTATCGGTGCAAAAAAAGAATAAAAATCAAATGTTATTTTTTATATTTTGAGGCTTTTTTACCCTCAGCGGAGCTCCTTTCAATTTGTAATATAATTATATTTTGATTTAATACATAGTCTATCGTAATCACTTTCAGTATTCAAGATATAGAGACATTATGTTTGTATATATGATATGTTTGAGTTCTCATGTTTTATCAAAAGAAAATTATAATGCATTATTTATTTTGTAAATACTCTCAAG